AGCCAGCACTAAAATAAAGTGCAATTAAGCGAACAATAATAAACTTCACTTTAGGATATATAGCCGTTGCAAGATATGATATAGTAGTAGTACGGCCAAACCCCAAAAAGTCAAGAAAATGTAAAAAGTAAATAGGCATGGGACATGCTAGTTTTATTCATTTATTTTTTTAAATGACGGGTCAATAAAGTCACACAATCGGCCAATACAACTCACAATTAAGTTGTACTATAATTAGATATCGAATTCATCATAAATATATAGTCTATGAGTCGACTGTGAGACCTCCTCCAATCAACGAAGATACTGGTAGTTTCACTGCACCTAACAATAAAGATGCAAAGGAATTAAAAGCCTATTAATTAGTATCTACGCTCCTCCTCAAAAGACAAAAAAGAGTAGAAGAAAAAAAAACCACAGAGAAAATTAGAGGGGAGAGATGGGCCCCACATCCAACCAGCTCAGCCCCATCTAGAACCCCTTGACTTTTTAAAACCCAATTTCTTTTTATGAGCCCAACCTTCCCACTCTCATGACATCTCCATTAAAAACTTGGCTGCCAAGAAAATGACAAAGACACAAAAAGAAAAAAAGGGTCGGTGATGATAACGCCTGGCACCCACCCACCTGGCAATCTCTGCTTCAAACACACCACTTCCACAACAAACCTCACAGAAAACCCGTTTCCCTCTCTTCTTCCATTATTTTCCCCTCAAATTTTCCCAGGAAACAAACGCTATGTTTGATCCCAACGCAAACCCACATGAACACCCTTTCCTGTTCAACAGTGGCACAGAGAAAATCACAAGTGACACAAGCCATGATACTTGGCAGGCCATGAACTATGCCTCCCGGGCTCAGAAAACAGCTCAGAATTATGCAAACTACAGGAGCTGGAACAGCATGGGGGCTCGGATAAACGACAGAGCTTCTACTGATGATGACGAATACGACTCCGGTGTTTGCTCGCCGCCGTTGTGGGAAACGACAAGTCGTGTGAACAACTACCGGAGCTTGTCCCCTGCTTCTAGAACGCAAGCGATTGCCAGAGGGCAGAGGGAGCTGATGGAGATGGTGAAGAACATGCCCGAGTCGTGTTATGAGCTTTCGTTGAAAGATCTGGTGGAGCATAAGAAGCCAATGGTGGATGAAGAAGATGATCAAGATCAAAATGAAGAAGAAGATGATAAAAGTACTCAAGTTTTGGTTAGGAGGGGAAATCTAAATGAAGAAGGGAATTATAAGAAGAAAAAGAGTGAGAAGAAGAAATTTGTTATGAGAAGTGGGAGTATAGATAGTGGGGGGTTTCTTTTGAAGATGGTTTTTCCAATTTCTTTGGGGCTCAATAAGAAAAACATGAACAAGATCAACAACAACAACAACAAGATGAAGAAGAGTGATAGTGTGGTGGTGGTTGCAAATAGCAATAATACAACAAGTGCAAAGGTGTCTCCAAAGCCTCAGGGGCAGGGGCAGGGGCAGGGGGCGGATGGATCTGTGAAGGGAGGTGTGGAGAGTGAGTGGTGGAAGATGAAGAGGCCTTCTGTTTCTGAAAGGAGTGAAAGTGGTGTTTCTAGTATTAACAGTGGAAGCATGAAAAGCAGTGGCAGCAGCAGCATTAGCAGTTCTAGCACCAGAAGCATAAGCAGCAGGAGCAGGTATGTATTAATTCACTCGCAGTTTTCATTTCATTAATTGTTTTTGTCTATTTCTTCCATTCATATCAATTTTTCATTAGGCTAAACAAATATTGCATATCAAGTCATTATAGGATGAAACAGGGAGATTTTAGTTTCATGGATTTCAGGAAAGAAAAAAAAACAAATTTTTATTGAAAATTCAACATTTTGGAAATTTGGGTGAAACTGGAAATTTCATCCAGAGTTCTGTTTTCCAGTAATGGAGGTCAAAGTCTCTTGTGAAGGAACAGAGAAAGGGCTAAAGGAAAAGCATACAAACGTGTAAAACTGATCAAGTTGAATGTAATTCACATTCGTCTTGCTGACCTAAAACCCAAAAATAAAGGGAAAAAATTCACATTCTAGAAACTGATTTTCCAACTGTCATGACTAAAATCGAAAGTTAGGACTGTATGATGCAAAAGCAATGCAAGTTGGGGGGTTTTTCCAAATTTGGCACCATTAGAAAATTGATGGGAAGTTTACAACATCATTTTTGTATTAAGAACTTCTAGATATTTGTCAACATACAAGTAGTAGGTAATATATTAATTTTTAGAATACAAATTTATAAATAAACCCAATCCTAGACATGTATTTATAAAAAAACCCAAACACAATTTAAATATAGAAGCACACTCAAAATCAACCCAAAAATCAACAATTGTATATTTTTTGGGTGTGTTTATAAATGGATTTTGAGTGTGTGTAATGATGGATTTTGGGTGTGTTTATAAAGTGTTTTGGGTGTTGGAAAGTGTTTTGGGTGTTGAGTTTTTTTATACTTTCAGCCTTTATTTTGGGTATTTTAGTGAAACTCCTTTTTTAGAAAATGAACCCCAACGGGTCTAGTTTTAGTGGAAAAGGGTCTTGACTTGCAAGCTAGTGGTCTCAGGTTTGAACCTCATGGCACCTCGGTAGTGTGTGTGCAAAAGCGAAACCCCCTCCTCTTTGTAATTTAGACTATCACTTGTATTAAAAAAAAAAAGTATATAAAATGTACATTTGGAATCATCTAACCAGTGACAAATTGTGCACCTATCTCTGTGTCCTTAATTTATTTTTTATTTTTAATGGTGTGATTTAAGAATGAGTTTATGGGTGCAATATTGCAGGCGCAAGAAGGGTGGCTGCTGGTCATTTATCATGCTCAAGAAGAATAAGAGGCGGGATTGATTGAAGGAGTTGCCTTCTAGATATAAAAAGCTGGAGATTATTATTAATTAAATGTTTGTGTAATTATCTCTCAAATAAAAAAATGCTTAGGTATATATATAATAGACTATTGCATACCAAATTTTCCGTTGCTTATGTATAGTCTTGCAGTTTTTGAAAGAGATGGTAAATCTGTTTTCTTTCTTTTTTAAATATTTTATAATATAATTTCCTGTTTTATTGGATTATATAATTCAACATCCGCTTGCTGAGAGCTGAGTGTTGCTTTCAGTTACACAACCGCTTGGACGGTCTGTAATGAATTCTATCCAATATGGTTTACTGATGATGAGTGTTATAATGGAAAAATTTGACTTATGGAAATATCTGGCTTCAAATGTGTTTGACTATTTTGATACCAATTGTTAAAAATCCACGTGTAGTTCGTTTGTTTGTATGTAATGCGACGTGACTCTGATATTAATTGTTAAGAACTTACGTGTGGAACTGCTAGATATTTAATTTAGAACTCACGTGTGGAACTGCTAGATATTTGATTTTCTTGTAGGGAGAGGATGGTTTTCTTGAAATTGAAGGTAACTTGAAAGAAAAGAATGATTATGTTGTAGGTAGGCACTAAATTTTTCTTGCAAGATGCCAGACTTCTAAGCATGGAATGACGAAATATTATATGTATATGTAAAAGATATGGAAAACAGAGTAATGATTCCATTTTGAATCTTTGTATGTGGGCTGTTCTCAACTACTTTACAGAAGTTGATGTCTATCACAAATATTATTTGCCAATTTTATTTTTTGTCAAGGGTATATTCTCATGCTTCAATATACTATATTATTCCCAATCACAATTATTATTTTTATTATATAATATATATATATATATATATATATATATATGTCTATTTTGGCTAAGATCAACTTGTTCTAGAACGTCCAAATTTAGTAGAGCGGGTTGGTCTATTTTCCACTTTGCTCCCTGTACGTTTAATTTTTACAATTCTAGTCCTCTACTTTTCTTTACGTAGCAATGAAGTCCTACAAATGTAAAATTACTAAGTAAAAAGACAAACGTATCTTCAGCTATGGTAGTTGCATATTGTCGCATTGAATATCATCAATTAAATAACCGAGTTTACGACTTGGACTTGATTACCAGCCAAACTTACTACAACACTAAAATTGTCTAAATCGAAATGAAAATAATTAAAGTGAAAAATAAATGGAATTACGAAAATAAAAATATATAATTAATCTTATTTTCAAAAAAAAAATTTTATAAAAAAAAAACAGAGACTAGGTGAAAAATAAGCCAAACAAAAAAGATAAGGCCATCTCCAAGTGAGAGTCAATTTTCTAAATTATAGCCTTAAATTCTCAAAACTCATCTCCAAAAGTGGGCTACAAAAAAAAGGAGGGCTACACAAAGGGCCAATTCCTAAATTAAGGGCCACATGTAACCCTTTGGTTAGCCTGGGCTAAATATTTGGATGGAGCCCAGTTGACGTCACCTAGCTGTTAGGTGACGTTAGCCAGTTTTTTTATTTTTATTTTTTATAATTAAAAAAATGATTTTTTAATAAAAAAATTCTAAAACAATTCCTTTTTTTTTTGGGGTATAAATACTTACCTTTTTTTTTTGTCATTCTTACATAATTTCTCACAGCATCTTTATCATTTTACATATTATCCTTCCTCAATTTCATCCTTTTACATAACTTCTCACAATCTCTTCGTTCTTTTACAAACTATGTTCATCTTTAAAAAAAATAAAAATAAATTTATGTTGTTTTTAGAACAAGAAAATATATAATCATAAATCTATAAAGCTAATCACGTGCCGACACGTGGAGGTCAAAAATAATATCCCAAAATAATTTTTCTCTTTCTAAAATGTATTTTAATAGGATATAAATAGTAGTTTAATTAAATTAACTAATAAATTTACATAATATACTAAAAATTATTAAAATATTAAATTTAACCATTTGCTACTAGAAATGGTTAAAATATAACATGACACTTTTTCTTATAAAATTATTTTTTAGAGGGCTAAATGTAGCCTTCCCTACCTGGAGATGGCTTAAAAGATTTGTGTGGGTGACAAAATATTTCGTAATCAACCCAAAAACTTTGTTTATTTTTGTGTTTCTTTTAAGACCCAGTAGCCCAAAACCCACCCCCAGCCGCCCAAGCCCATCCTTATCTCCTTGAACCCAGTAGCTCTCTCCTCCCGCAGTCCCTCTTCTAAACCTCGAGCGGGTCTTCTTCAGTAAAACCTGTGGTCTGGATCAAATTCTTCTGCCCTTTATCTTCTTCTTCTTCAGTTTTTCTTAGGTTGCTTCACCTCCGATGACTTAACTCTAAAAGGTATTTCTTCATTTCCGCTTTTCTTTTTCTAGTTTAGGGTTTCATTTCTAATGGGATATTATATCCTCGTGTTTGCTCTGTTCAGTTGAGAAATGTCATATTCATTGGTGTCCAGTCAGTTTCTCTGCGTTTCTGAGCTTCTTTTGTTTTTGTTTGTTGTTTTTTTTCTGCAGCTGTAAATATAATTTATGTGTTTATGTGTCTGTATATATAATCTTATGTGTTCTTGTCTCTGTTGAAGCTTACTGATATTAATTTGGTCATGAAGTTTCTTATTTTGATGCTGTTTGTTTACTAACTAGTAGAAGATTATTAATCCATTATTAGGGTGCATTTGCTATTGCTTATAATGTCTGATCGAGTGTATGGATTTCCATTTTCGTTGCTATTTTTCTGATAGTTATTTGGTAAATTATCTGTTCATGTGGTTCCATCGTTATCATCTAATTCTTGCTTCTCAACAAATCTGAATTTGCAGCTGGAGTTCAATCAGATGGTATTTAATTAGCTATTAATTGTTGGGACTTGGGACCTCCTAACGATGCCGGCATTAATCTCGCCAAGGTTGCTCCTTTTTGGAGAGTCTCTATCCTTCCATAAGTTCCCACATGTTTCTAGGAATGCTTGGTTCCATAGAAGTGTTTGTAGTCTGAGTCTTGCAAGCCTCGGCTTCAAAAATGATCACGAAATAGTAGAGACTGGGAAATTCAACGAAGCCAAGCTGCGGAATTCTCTTACAGAAGTCCCCAAAAGTAAAGCCAAGGTGGTTAGAAGCCATGTAGTCAAGGCAGCTGGGCCACATAGATCGCTTGAAATAGATTCGACTATCTTTAATGCTAAATCATTTTTTGAGCTTGGGCTTCCACCTTTGTTGATAGAGAGGTTAGAGAAGGAAGGCTTTAAGACTCCAACTGATGTTCAAGCCACTGCAATTCCAACAATTCTTAAAGATCATGATGTTGTGATTCAATCTTACACAGGCTCAGGAAAAACATTGGCTTATCTTCTTCCCATCCTCTCTGAAGTTGGCCCGCTAAAGACAAGAACATCTGATGATGATGGTGAACCTGGGAAGAAAACAGACATAGAAGCAGTAATTGTGGCTCCTTCAAGGGAGCTGGGTATGCAAATTGTGAGAGAGTTTGAGAAGATATTAGGACCTGCAAACAAAAAAGTAGTTCAGCAGCTTGTAGGGGGTGCAAATCGATCAAGACAGGAAGAAGCACTGAGGAAAAATAAACCTTGCATTGTTGTTGGGACCCCGGGAAGGATTTCGGAGATTAGTGCAGCTGGGAAGCTTCACACCCATGGCTGCCGTTTCTTGGTCTTAGATGAGGTTGATCAACTGCTTTCATTTAATTTTCGGGAGGACATGCACCGGATATTGGAACATGTTGGGAGGAAATCCAGTGGAGACTCACGTGGACCAAAAGGCTCCCTTGCCAAGCGGGCTGAGCGTCAGACTGTTCTGGTTTCTGCCACAGTACCATTTTCAGTGATACGAGCAGCCAGGAGCTGGGGGCACGATCCACTTCTCATCCAAGCCAAAAAAGTCATTTCCATTGAATCTATTTCTCCCTCTGGACCCATTAATTTGTCAGGACAGTCAACCAGTTCTGATCCATCCTCAAATGTGCAGACTCAGGCTGCAATACAGAGCCTACCTCCATCTCTAAAACACTACTACTGCGTTACAAAGTTACAACACAAGGTTGACACGTTGAGAAGATGTGTCCATGCTCTTGATGCCAAGTCCGTTATCGTCTTCATGAACCACACTAAGCAACTAAAAGATACCGTCTTCAAGCTGGAGGCTCGTGGAATGATAGCAGCAGAGCTACATGGGGATCTTGGTAAACTTGGTAGGACAACAACTCTGAAAAAGTTCAAGAATGGGGAGGTTAGAATTCTGGTGACTAATGAACTTTCAGCAAGGGGTTTGGATGTGGCAGAATGTGATCTTGTAGTCAATCTGGACTTACCCACAGACTCTATTCATTATGCACATCGAGCTGGTCGGACTGGTCGGCTTGGCAGGAAGGGCACTGTCGTAACAATATGCGAAGAGTCAGAAGTTTTTGTTGTGAAGAAGCTGCAGAGGCAGCTTAGCATTCCAATTGCAACTTGTGAGTTCACAGAGGGCAAGTTTGTTATCACCGAAGAAGAGAAGGCTCTACCAGCTCTGAGGTGATGATAGTTTACTACCTATACTTATTGCAGTGTTGCAACTTTTGGAAATTGCAATAAGTTAATTCACTAATATAATTCCTCATAGAAAAGTTTATTAATATAGTTATGTTTTTTAGCATACTGTGAGAACAATGAGGGGTTGGTGCAATCAATGAACTAAATGATCCAAATTGTTTCTCTCTTTTGTTGAAGTTATTTGAAAAGCATCAAATACTATTCAAAATGCCACATGGTTTGAAGCATCATTTAAGCTCCCCATCCATACTGATTTCAGTTCTTTTTGTGTTGAATAGGGTTTAGGGTTCTAATACACTGCCATTTCATGGTCCAAAATAAAATAAATTAGTTTTTTGAAAGCTACTGAAATATGCTATACCAAGGGGCAGCTCAAGTGCATATCTGAAATAGCTTGTAATTAGCCATTTAACTTTGGTCATCCGTAAACTCCAAAAATTCAAGCTTTTTCTGAGAATTTGGGTGGGGATAAGCTGAATGCATACTTTGGGTCCACGAGGCCAATAGCAATTAGCAACCTTCCTAACTAGGGCTGGGCATTTCCATGTGGCCAAACCGGACCTGTCGGGCCAGTTGTCCGGTTTCCCAAAAAATCAAGCCAAATCTCACCGAGGCCAGCCCTAGGCCCAAACTACACACTTTCTTTGCCCCATGCGGGGACAGTCAGATAAAACCCTTAATTTGGTTTGGTACAAACCCACGAAAAGCAGCACAAATTAAACCCTTCATTTGGTTTTGGGTGAAGTCTTATTTGAAATACTAATGCTATTTGGACACACAACATTAACCACCTTAACTGATCACCTTATGTGGCAACTGATGTGTCATGTCATGTCAATTAATAAATGTTGCCATGAGGCCACTCACTAGGAATGCTAATGTTTTTTAATTGACATGACGACATTCATTAATTGACATGATATGACACATTAGTTGCCACATAAGGTGGTCAATGTTGTGTATCTAAATAGCATTACTCTATAGGGCAAAGGTGCTCCAGCACCATTACACACAAACAGAGATCTTAATATAACAACTTAGTATACCCTTTATAGGGTAGAAAAACTTGTGTGAAACAAATATAATACTGTTTTGCTATCCCGAACGAATTAAAAATTGCCACATGCAAAACGGTGCTATCCTCGTTTCAGACAAGTGTTACTCCTTATAGGACCTTTATTTTTGTCTTAAGAGGAAAAATTAACCCTCTTGCCACTGGAGGTCCCAAGGGGCCCTTATTACTTTTTTATTATTTTTTTATTTATCAAATATATCACCAAACAAACGATAAAAGTTTACAGACGAACGGAAGGCGTTAATGTGGCCTCATTAAAACCTTGCCATAAAAAACCTCCAATGGAGGAAAATCCGGTCAAGGAAAAAGAGTACCCCCAATAGAGCCCTTATTACTTGACTACATGGTCTTAATACTTTTTTTTTTTTTTTTCTAAATAGAAATACAATTATTATTATTATTGTTATTATTTATTGAAAAGAAGCAGCTTCATTTGGTGTTAGCTAGAGCAGAGCCTCATTGATCAAGTTTGCTTTTGCTTCGATCACATGGTACTGAGAATTGGATTCCAAGTATTCTTTGTAAGTCATTTGACGATAAGAGGGTGGGTTATGGTCGTCTACAAACTCTGGTTCAGGCTTCACAGTTGCGTCCAATGATGGTCCAAAGAAGAAGGGTAAACTCAACCTTTCCACTTCTGTGTTTAAAGCCACCCGGTGCAACAAGCTCTTGTACTTCCCATTGGTAAGAATCTGCAAACCACAAATTAATTACAAATTAAATATGGCACGGGAATTTTAACAAACGAAACAAATAGGAGCTGTTTTTAAAGATTAAAATGGAAAATATCCAACTTTTGTGACGGAATGAATTTTGTCACACGTACTTCAAACCATCCAATATAACTGATTTAAGTATCTCGCTTAGTCCGTATACACATATATGATCTATTAGTTTTTGGTCATACATATATGATTAATTTGTTTTGGGTTAAACACCGCTAGCATAGAGAAAGTTGCTGACAATATTGAAGTATAGCATTTTCCTTCAACCTAGTATTAAAGACGTATTATGTGCGAAAGAGAAAAAACTTGGAAAGATGATTAGATTTTTGTGGAGAAGAAATGAAAATTTGAGAAATGTATTGAAATGCACCAACCTCTATATTGTCAGCAACAAGGACACCAATGGAACTAGGAGGAAAATCTGCATTGAGCCACTTCCCTTGGTGCTTTATCTGAAGCCCCCCACCCACGTTTTGTGCGATGAGCACAAGCAAACCAGGGTCTCGATGAGGAAACTGCCCAATCTGATTCTTATCATCCGAGCAACGCGACAGAGATTGATAAAAATTTGGTCCCAAAATATTGTAGCCAGATTCCAACTTCACTTTCTTTTCTATGTAGCATTCTTCAAGCCCCAGAGATTTTGAGATCCCTCTAAGCAATTGGATGCCCATCTCTCGCATTCTCTCACTATACTCTTGCAAAACCCTGCTTTCATCATATATAAACACCAAAATTTGTTGATGCATGTTAGGTAATTAAGTTTAAACATAGATTCAAGTATCTTTGTTGTACCATTTTTGAAAGAATAAAATTATTGTCTTAATTACCAAGATAAGTTTCATCCTAGACTACGTATCACATCAACTAGATACAAACATCTTTTATGTAACCTAATTTTTCTAAATACGACTACTAGTTTTATAATAATTAAATTTGTTAAAGCAGATGAAATCGATCCGTAGGTGAAGTGATAATCTATATGTAAAACAAAGTTTAGAAAAACAAGTGTCAACGGGATCTAGCTCAATGGAAAAGGACCTTGTCTTGCAAATGAATGGTCTCAGGTTCGAAATCTCATGGTACTTTGTATTTAAGAGACTACTAATACATTTAATGAATACAATTTAACGACTAAAATTAGAAGTATATAATCAATTCTTAATATAAAATACTTATTCGAGAATCCCCCATTTTTGTTGTGTGAAAGTGAATTAATTACTTCACGCATAGCCAATGCGTGCGTTTAATATAGAAGGTGGTTTACATGGAATCGTCAGGTTTTGTTGGGCAGTGGAAATTGGGATGTGTCCTCATGTGGAGAAGCTCTCTTTTGGTTACGCCGCCCAATATGAATCTGATTCTATCCGTCGGATCATTTGTCGCATACCGTCGCTTCTCCTCGTCCGTCTGATGAAAAAATCTGGAAAGCCAACTGGTAACACTACCTATCAGGCTATCTGGGATCCCATGATTTGTCACCTGCCAAATCATCAAGGCCACTACCACTCAAACTTGACAAAGAAATATTATACGTGCCAGATGCTGCAATATATTCATTTTCATAATTAAGAAACAAGTTTTTCATTTAAGATTTTTAAGGTTTCTTTTGACAGGATCCGTCTCGAATTTCCCGGAACCCGAGACGAACCCTGCGGAGATCCCGGCATCACCCCCATGCCGGGTTCACTCCTTAAATCTATGTCCTCGTTTACCAGAGAAGATTAGGGGCAAAGCAATTACATAAATGGCCTCCGGCCTTCAAATGATTCTAGCAAAACTGCCCACAAAGTTTTTAAAATAACTTAATGCATCAAACATGCATATAACAAATTCAAAATCTATTTATGCACACCTTCACTCACTCAGTCTCCAGGACCAATCTCAAATCAACCAAGTTTCAGGACCAACAACAAGGTCCGAACCAATCTCAATAAGACCACCTAAGTGGGGTCTAATCTGTGGCTGCACCTAGTAACTTCAGGCTGCCTACTTCCCCTACTAAGGAATCAAGCCACACGTAGCTCTTCCGTATCTATCTTGGCTCCTAATATCCAATAAACCATTACCGCCACACAAATACATACATTCTAGGATTTATCTATCACAACTCACCAAACACAATCACAATATCACCCCTCATACGACGGGACGCACCCGGCCTAGTATGGGGTCTGTCAACACGCCGGCTAATCCAAAGACGCGTGCGACCTCAACACTGGGCCTGGCTACATTCTCATCAGCCCTCACACAATCACATCTCCCCTCATACGTCGGGACGCACCCGGCCACGTATGGGGTCTGTCAACACGCCGGTTAATCCAAAGAC